ACAAGGCAGAGAGGTTGCCATTCCGGCAAAGTGAAAGTGAAAAAACCAAGAGTATAGTTCCCAGAAGGAAACCTAAGGAACGAGAAGAGCCTCTCTAGGAAGACCTCTCGGGCTCACCTTGGCTCTGCCAGAAGGACCCAAAGGAAACAGGGTAGCTGCCCAAGGAAGCTGCCCTAAGGAGGGAGGGAGGGAGGGATGCACTTTGGCTGGCAGGTAGAAGGGTGGGGGGAGGGAGTTGAAGCCCTCCGGTGAGAAATGCACCCAGAGTAGGCAAGGAGTATCTTGCAGGTGCTTTTGAAACCAGGGGGGAGGCCCCCATGGGGAAGGCATATACAGCATATACAGCACTTTGGGCTGTGATAGAACAGCCGTCGCATGACTGGCCCTGGCTGACTCACGAGGGGGGAAGGCTGGGGGCTAGAAAAGAGGTCCTAGTGCCAGCACAAGGAGAAGCTACCTTTTCACAGGAGGACAGGCTCAGGAGGAGGAGGAGGGGGAGAAGAGGAGGAGGAGGAGGAGGAGGAGGGAATGCAAGGGTCTCATAAAATTCTTCCTTTGCCTCCTGACCTGCTTCCTCCGAAGAGTGAAGAGCCGAGAGAAGCAGGAAGGGCCGGTCGAAGGGCAAGAGGGACGCAGGCTCCCTTCAGAGGGAAGATATCCCTCACTCAGGAAATGTGGGCACGCCATAAAAAAGAGACGTGGGAATAGGTGGCTGGAAAGGCTGCTTTCTGGAAAAGGCCAGGACTTGACAGAGGCCATCCCAGACCAGTCAGAGCAAGTTGTCACTCCACAGAAGTTTAGGAGCAGCCAGAACATGAAAGCAAAGAAGGGCGCATGGGGGGGGGCAGCAGCAGCAGAGCGCTTGGGAGACAAGCCTGAGACAGGCTTGATTGGCAGGAATCACAGTGGAGGGAGGAAAGAGCCTGTCTGGAGCGCCTGCAGCTGCTAGACCTAGACCAAGGGAGCAGGTCAGTAGGTGCTCTAGGGCAGGGGTAGGCAACCTTGGCTCTATTATGACTCGTGGACTTCAACTCCCAGAATTCCTGAGCCAGCCGTGCTGAGGGGAAAGGGAGGTTTCCAAACTGAGCCATGCTGGCTCAGGAATTCTGGGAGTTGAAGTCCAAGAGTCATAAAAGAGCCAGGGTTGCCTACCCCTGAGCTAGGCGCTATAGACACAGGGAGATCTTTAGCTAAAGCAGTCTAAGGCAGTCTTTCTCAACCTTGGCTACTTTTAAGTTATTTAAAAATTATTAATGCAGCATATAAATAAAGTAATAATGTAAACTGTAAATGTAGTATATCTGTTCAATCAGTGACATCATCCAAATAAGCAAATCCTCTGGGATGTAGGCATCAATCACTGGGTCAAGATTCTTGCTGCTCCTGACTCTCTGTGCACAGCAGCCCCTCCCTGCTGAGGCTGGAGACCCCAGGTCAAGATGGCCACCACAGGATCCCATCAGGAAAAGGGTGACAACCCTAAGCACACAATTAGCCTAAACCTAGCCCTAATTCTAAGAATGGAATGGGAATGGGAATAGAATAGAATAGAATAGAATTAGAGCTGGAAGGGACCTTGGAGGTCTTCTAGTCCAGCCCTCTGCTCAATTCCATATGGATTCAAACCAGAACTGAGAGAATGATTGACTGAACTCTAGAGTCCACTGAACTGGGGAAGCAAACCCTATTTTGTGCACTGTGAAATAAATAATTAATGATGCTTTAAATTTTTGTGGAGTTTTAAAATTACACCTTCAATTCAGGAAAAGAAGTCCCTAAAATGTAGCAACCTGCATTTACCCCCTTTTCTGAACTGTTTTATTTCTCTGCAGTTTGAAATCATTTCCTGAAAAAACTTTTTAAACCCTAGCAGCCTCAGAGGGATTAACTTAATCCTCACCCAAAACTTAATCCTATAGGGATTCAAATACCTTTTGTAACAGTTAAAGACATGCAAATTTTAACCTGAAAATAGACATGCATGTGCACACATTTGCAAATGTAACCAATAGCATAAATACACATTTAGGTGTTTGTAAACATCCTGAAGCATCACCTTAATAAAGTTTTACTCCACTTCACTCCAGGAAAAGCCAGGAAAATTTAACTAGGAACCAAATACACACAAGCCGCCACCAATCGAGCAGCAAGCGTCCAACAGTGATGCTTGTTACCTGCACATCTGGACATGTCAGAGGCTGATTCTGGTTTTACTGCTGGAAATGTCCATTAGCAGGTAGTCATTTTATCTGCTCTTCTTCAAGGGTGTTGTCATTGTAGCCTCTGGGCTGCCCCTAATACTGTAACGTTGCCTAAGCCAGGAAAGACTGTATGGAAAAGTTTTAAACAGCAAAAGAGGAAAAGGATCTTAGGGTTGTGTCTTCCCCACCCCCCATGTCTGTCCAGGCATCCAGCCTGAAGGGGAAAAGGGCTCCCAGGAAACCTCCAGGGGTGAGAAAACCCAGCCCTTCTCCCGAGTGGCCACTGCCAGCCCCCCTGAGCCATGTCTGCCCCAGCTGACTGGTGGGGGGGGGCTGAGGGGGTGCACAGTGAAGCGCAAGGGAAAGGGAGGGGCCCTCTGCCATTTCTCAGTGCAACTGTTCCCACGCTGGTCAGTTGTCTTGGCGGCTTTTGGGCACGTCCTTAATGCTCCTCCAGCAGAGCAGCAACTGGGGACTAGTGGAGGCTGAGCTGACAGTTAGGACTCCCTTTGAATGCCCCCCCCTCCTCGCTTAGGGCGGGGGATCCGTATGCAATACCAGAGACAGGTGCAGCAGACTGAAGTGGTACCTCGTTGAATAGTAGCAACTGAGAGAGGGATCTCAGAGTCCTAGTGGACCATCACTTAAATAAGCCAACACAGTGCTGGGCTGCATTAACAGAGGGAGAGAATCAAGCTCAGGTGAAGTGTTAATACCACTTTACAAGGCCTTGGTAAGGCCACACTTGGAATACGGCATCCAGTTTTGGTCACCGCGATGTAAAAAAGATATTGAGACTCTAGAAAGAGTACAGAGAAGAGCAACAAAGATGATTGGGGGACTAGATACTAAAACATACAGTATAAAGAACAATTGCTGGAATTGGGTATGTCTAGTTTAATGAAGAGAAGGACGAGGGATGACATGATAGCCGTGTTCCAATATCTCAGTGGCTGCCACAAAGAAGAGGGAGTCAAGCTGTTCTCCAAGGCGCCTGAAGGCAGGACAAGAAGCAACAGGTGGAAACAAATCAAGGAGAGAAGCAACCTAGAACTAAGGAGAAATTTCCTGACCATTAGAACAATTAATCAGTGGAACAACCTGCCTCCAGAAGTTGTGAATGCTCCAACACTGGAAGTTTTTAAGAAGAGATTGGACAACCATTGGTCTGAAATGATATAGGGTTTAGGGGGCTTCCAATTATTCTATTCCTATCCTATCCTATCCTATCCTATCCTATCCTATCCTATCCTATCCTCAGTCACCACTCTGGCTCTCTCTCCTCATCCCCTCATTGCCAGACCCAGATCCAGCTTCCAAGAAGGAAGAGCAATTGGTGGTTTATCCCCTCCCCACCCCACCCCTACCTGCTGTTCTGAAGGAGGGGGGGTTCTTTCCCCACCATGCCTCCTCCAGATATTGTCGAGAATTCCTGGGAACCCCAGCCCAACCCGCCTGAAGGGGTAAACTTTACTGAACGATCCTTTGCCGCGCTTAATTGGGGGGGGCATTGGGGAGCACAGATGAACGAAAGGGAGACCGAGCTGTAAGCTTCCCTCAAGAGGAAGGGGCAGGGGGCCATCACAGGCAGCCACGGAGCAAGCAAATGGAGCGATTGTGTGCCCCCGAGGTCACATGCAAGGAAGGGAACGGGGGGGGCGGCTGGCTGGCACCAGTTGCCTCCTCCGCCAGATGCCAGCACAGAAGTGTGGAGTTGCTCTCCAGGGCCGGCAACGTGGAGCTCGGCTGCCCCCTCCCCATCCAGCGGGAGAAGAGGGGTGCTACTGGCCACAGGATCGGGGGGGGGCTTTCTGCTTTAGCGCCGTCCCTGCATCGCAGGAGCCCTTTCAACCAAGCCGAAACTAAACGGCGCCGCTTTCCTTTCCCGGCTCCCGCCCTGCCTCTTCCCGGGCCGGGGGGGGGCAGGGGGCTGGTCGGGGAACGGTCTGGGGCAGGAGAGGCACTTACCGATGGAGATCCCCAGCAAGCAGTGCGCGGAAGGCGAGAAGTGGTCGATGAGATCCTCGCCCATCTGGGGGCAGAAGTAGAACCTGCGGCCGGAGGAAAGGGGGGGGGCTCTGTGAGTCCTCTCCCGGGGCGGCTCCGCCCGCCCACCCCGACCGCCACCGCGACCTCCACCCACCCGAGGAGGGCCCAGGAGCCGCTCAGCAGGCTGTGGGCCAGCGACGTCCAAATGTTGCGCCACTTCCAGCGGACGGGCTGCGCCGGGGAGGGCGGCGGCACCAGGCGCTCCAGGACGGTGTTGAGCAGCCGAAAGGCGCCCATCGAGCCCCCCGGCAGCAGCAGCATATCCATCGCGGGACTGCCCGAGCCCCGAGCCCGCCGGCCCCGCCAGTCGCCCTCGCCCGCAGCGGAGCGGAGCGCAGCAAGCCCGAGGGCAGCGGGGAGCCGAGAGCGCGGAGGGCCGGGCGGGAAAGGGGCAGCCGCCGGGGGGGGGAGCCGGGGGTGTGACGGCAGACAAACCGTCCCCCGGCGGCGCCCGCCATTGGCTCCGCCGTCGCCCCGTCTCCATGGCGACGCCCCCCCCGCCGGGGGAAAGGGTCTCCTCGGACAGCAAGCCGCGACCCGGCATTCGTCCCCGGGAGGCCGCCGGCCGTCCAGCCTCTCCCTCCCGCCGCGCCGGCTGAGCGACTCCAGCCGCCGCGAAGAGCCCGGAGGGCGACGCCGGCGCGGTGGGCTTCAGCGGCCGTTCCGAAAGCCCGGCCCGGCCTCGGGGTAGCGCTCCGCCGCTTGGCAACCCCGCGGCGTCTGCAGGGCGGGCAGGACCGGGCCTGCGGGATGGGCGGGCGGCCTTCGGAGCGCGAGGAATCGGGCGACACCGGCGCAGGTGGCGGGACGGAGCTGAGCCGCGGGGACCGCCTCGGCTTGGAGCGCAAGTTCCGGGGCCCCAGGCGGAGGGGGCCGTTTGGCGCTGCCGGGACCCCGCCTGGTTAGCGGGAGCTCTACCGAAACGGTTGCCCGGGACTGCAGGCGGCTACTCACCCCAAAGCGGGCGGGAGCTGCCCCCCTCCACCCGCTCCCCGGTCAGCCGTTCCGCCGGCTGCGTTTGCCCAGGACCGCCGAGGCGTGAGCGCCGCTCCAGCCCGCGCCGCCGGTGTAGGTTGCGGCCGCCCGACGCCTTTCCGCGGCTGCTGGGAGTCACCGGGGCTCCCCTTGCTGGCAGCAGTCCCGCTTATAGCTTCCCCGCTCGGTGGCTCGAGCGAGTCTGGCCAGCGCGGGCGCCCCGAAACGGGGGCTGGTGTCCGGGCGGAGACCCTCCAAGCTTCGCCAGCAAAGCTCGGGCGCAGCGTCAGGTCCTCTCCTCGCCTGTTCCCCGTAAGCGGCCCGGTTCTGCGCTCCCACCCCTGCGGTCTCCGGTTCGCGGGAGTGGGCAGAGCCCCAACGCTGCCCTCCCGCCCCCCTCGGCTGCGAGTCGCCGGGATTCTCGCCGAGGGAGCCGGGCGGCATATAAGTAAATGCAGGCCGCCCACTTCGGGCAAGTTCGGGGGCGGCGCCAGGTTGGATGCGCGAGGAAGGAACGGGCTGCTTGGCAGGCGCGCCCCGTCCACTCTTCTGTTGCGAGACGCCGCCGCCGCCGCCGCCGCCCTGTGTCCTTTCCCGATGGCAGCGCCAACGCCAAGCCCCGGTGAGTCTGGGCTCCTCGGGGCGGCTGCTCTGGGGATGGGCGAGGGGCTGGCTCCGGGGGGGAGCAGGGAGCCTTGGCTGCCGTCGCACAGGTCAGCCTGGGCTGAGTGGGCCAGGCGGGGACGCCCCTCCGGGCGGGCCAGGACACAGGAGCAGAAGCCCTCGGCTCTCGAGGCTGAAGGCCTCCGTCCCCGGGGATGGGAAGGCGCGTAACTGCGCTGCGCTTGTATCTCCTTCTGTCTTGGGCGCCAAGGGGGCTGAGTTCCCCCTACCCGCTTTGCGGCAACCCTGTGAGGGGCGGTCACCTGACAGGTTGTGGAGGTCCAGCTCAGGAAGGCTGTTGCCTGATCCCTCGGGGGCTTGGGGGGCTGAAAGGGGACAGTGCAACCCCGTTCCTTTCCTACCCAAGAACGCTCGCTGCGCATGGAGCAGAGGCCGCTTCAACAGCTGGGGCAGTTATTGACCCTGCGCGAGGGGCCGCCCTGGGTGGACCCACAAAGCCACCCACCCGCTCACCAGCCCAGCCTTTGGCGAGACCCTCCTTCGGCTCTGTTCTGCCGGATTCTAGACTTGCAAAGGCGTCCCCCGCCCCGCTGGGCTGCACTATGACACCCCCCCCCCCAGGATTCCCAGCCTGGAAAACCTGTCTAGCTGGGAATTGCGGAAGGACGCACCAGGTTTAAGAAGGCTGATCCAGACCTTATTGCATTTGTTTGATGTGAGGTGGATAATTCTTCCCCGCGAGGGGGGGGTGTCACGGGTTGTAGTGAGCATCGTGGGGAGGGGAGAGGCTGGCGACTTGGGTGGGGCTGGGAAAATGAGGCTACTTTACAGAAGGCCCCCCCTCCCCACACCTTTTCCCAGGGCAAGGAGAAGCCTTGGGGGTGGGGGTGGGGACTCTAAAACACATCTGACTTTATTGGGCTTGCATTTCAGTTTCATTTCAATTAAAGTTTAGAACATCTTAAACATCAGCCCAGAGCGCCACTTTGGCCTAGAGATTAAGGCACCAGGCTAGGAACTGGGAGGCCCAGGAAGCTAGCTGTGGCGGCGCTGGGGAAGGCGGGGTGGGGGGTGGGGGGGACCCACAAGAGAAGCCATCACACCCTCCCCAAGCTCTTCCCTCGTTTCTCAAAGTGCCGGAAGCCTTTGTCAGTATCTGTGTGTCTGTGTGTGCTATTCATGGTAGGGATTGAAGCAGCATGGGGGTGGGGGGTGGGGTTGTCCGCCTCGGGTGGGGCTTAACTACAGGTAAGAGGTGTGTTGAGTTTGCCTGGCAAAGAGTTCCTCAGGTGGCACAGCTGGGATGGTATAGGTTCTCCTGCTTGAGCAGGGGGCTGGACTAGAAGACCTCCAAGGTCCCTTCCAGCTCTATTCTATTCTATTCTATTCTATTCTATTCTATTCTATTCTATTCTTATCATTACTCTACTTCTATTCTATTCTATTCTGTTCTATTCTATTCTTATCATTACTCTACTTCTATTCTATTCTATTCTATTCTATTCTATTCTATTCTATTCTATTCTATTCTATTCTTATCATTACTCTACTTCTATTCTATTCTATTCTATTCTTATCATTACTCTACTTCTATTCTATTCTATTCTATTCTTATTTCTATTCTATTTTTATTCTTATTCTGTTCTGTTCTATTCTATTCTATTCTATTCTATTCTATTCTATTCTATTCTATTCTATTCTTATCATTACTCTACTTCTATTCTATTCTGTTCTGTTCTGTTCTATTCTATTCTATTCTATTCTATTCTATTCTATTCTATTCTATTCTTATCATTACTGTACTTCTATTCTATTCTATTCTATTCTATTCTATTCTATTCTTATCATTACTGTACTTCTATTCTATTCTATTCTATTCTATTCTATATTCCATTCTATTCTATTCTATTTTCCATTCTATTTTCTATTCCATTCCGTTCCATTCCTCCCTTGCTGTGCTTGCAAAGGCAGCTCCTGCACTTGCCCCCAGAAAAGGCAGCATCCTCCCTTGGCAGCCAAGAAGGCTTCCGGCTGAGGAGCTCTCATCCTTGGGGGGGGGGAGTCTTTCTGCCTGCCCCAGTGCCCAGTGGCTGCCTCTTGGCCTTTCGGTGCCAGCCCTGGTGGCAGGAAGGAAGGGAGGGGGGGGATTTTGTGAGGAACTAACTCTTCCCTGGCCAGGAGGCTCTCCGCTCCTTCCAAGGCGCCATGCAGACCTGCGGCTGCTGCGGAGGGTCCCCTGGGAGGGGAGGGGGGATGTTAGTAGGGACCCCCAACTTCCTCCTCCTCCTCCTCCCCCTCCCTCTCTCTTTCCAGTCTCAGCCCAGAAGATGGATGGAGCAGACACTCTGGTCACCCAGCATGTCTGCCGCGAAGATGAGCTCCATGACGGAGAGTGAGTCCGCATCCCCGGGGCCAGAACGGGGCATGGGGCCCTTCTCCTTGTGCAAGGGGCGAAGGAGGAGCCAAGGCTGTGGCTGCTGGCGACTGGGTCAGCCTCCCGGCCAGTTGAGGGGAGCCTCTTCAGGGTCAGAGAGAGGCCCCTGTTGGTGGGGTGGGGGGGGGGAGAGGTCCAGCCTGCCCTCATGGCCACACCCTTTCCCTGCCCTGAGCTCCAGCCCTCCCGCTTCCCAGGCGAGTCAGTGGGGCTGGCTGGTGGGGCTGCAGCAGGGAAGGGGGGCTATGCTCCTGGCCCTTCAGTTCTCCGAGTCCCGAGGCCGGCTGGGCTCAGCCTGTCACCTCCAGAGGCAGCCGAATGCCTGGAAGGCTGCCCGGCCCTGGGCCAGGAGGACCTGGCTTGTCCTTCGGAGCCTCCCTTGGGAACCCGGAGGGGGCTTCCCTCCTACCCACCTGGGTGCAGCTGATGGCAGTTTCGGCTCCTCTGCAGCCTCTGGGCTCCCAAGGCAGCCCTTGCAAGGCCTTGTGGCGGCGGCGGGGGGGGGCTTTCAGCCAGGGCTTCCTCTTGGTTGAGGGGGGGGACTGCTATTTTCTAGCCATGTGTGAAATGTGTCTCCTTTAGTCCATTTCTGAGAGACACCCCCTTTTTTCGTCCTCTGAGAAAAGCTCCGGGTTCTTGCTTTTACAGGGCGCCCAGGGGGGGGGCTTCCAACCAGGTGCCGGGGGACTCAAGGTTATGCTGTTATCACCAGCACTTCCTCCGCCCCCGATCCATTGTGTGGGGGGGCTTTTTAGGAGCCTAGCAAAGGCTTCTTGGGCCAAGGCTCTTCTCTCCTTGGTGCAGGATGCGGGAGGTCGAGGTGGCTGGATGCCCGGTGCTGCTGGTGAGGGAGGGCCTGGACATCCGAGCGCTGGGCGGCAGATGCCCTCATGCCGGAGCCCCACTCTGCAAAGGTGAGCCCTCCCCCCACCGTGCAGCCTCCTCTGGGCTGGGAACAAGGGAGGCTGGGGCCCTTGTCATACTGAGCAAAGGCTCTGGATCCAGGCTCTGCCCATGGCGAGGGGGCTGCTCCCTTCCAGCCCTGCCCCTTCGTGGGGGTCCCGGAGAGGCCTTGGGCTTCAAGAGCAACACTCGCACCCCTTGCGGCCCTGTACTGGCCTCGCTGCCAAGGGCTGGTGCCCACAGCTGCCTCTTTTCAGCTCTTGCAGTCTCGGCTGCCTTTGGGCGCATGGAGTGTCCAAGGTTTCTCAGTGGACACTGCCTCCCCCCCCCTCCGTGGGTCTCTTTTTCTGGGTTTCAGGCTACTTGGTAAAGGGCCGGTTGCGTTGCCCCTGGCACGGCGCCTGCTTCAGCACCAAGACTGGCGACATTGAAGAATATCCCACCCTGGACTGTCTGCCTGTTTTCCAAGTACGTTTGAACTCTGCCTGCCCCCCCTCCCCAAAGGGGAATGTGGGACCCCAGGTCTGAGAGGCTTTCATACACTGTTCTTGGGGGAGGAGTCTTCTCCAGCAGCCTCTCAAAGACTCTCTTTATTGGGGGCGATGGATGCTTCTGGATCCCTTGAGAAAGGAGGCACACAGGCTGTCCATGCTGAGCCCTTTAGGATCTGAGCAGCAGGGCCGCTCCTGCCAACGCCGCCTGCCCTTGTGAGTGCGCCCCTCAGGCCCTAGGCCCACTGGGGTTGCTTGCCATCCTGGCCGGGCACCACAGGCTGCCCTTCTCCCCACCCCTGTGGGCCCAGCCCGCTGCTTTCCTGTAACCCCTTTGGCACGGCTCTGCAGCCTGGGCAGAGTAAAAAGACCCCACTGGGGCCCAAGACGCAGGCAGATATTATATTTATATCCCACCTTTATAATAATTCAAGAGCAGATGTTATTTATTTATATCCCACCTTTATTATTTTTACAAATAACTGAAGGCAGAGAACATATCCAAGGCACCTCCCACCTCCTTTTCCCCACAGCAACAACCTTGTGAGGTGGGCTGGCCTGGGAGAGGGACTGGCCCAAAGACACCCAGCCAGCTTTTATGCCTAACGCAGGACTAGAACTCCCGGTCTCCCACTTTCTAACCTGGCCCTTTAACCTGTAGACCAGGGGTGTCGAACTGCCGGACCGCGGGCCGGATGCATCATAGCGACACTGCGCCCACCCCGTTGCCGGCAATGGAAAAAAAGTTGTGACGTTGCGGGTTCGACACCCCTGCTCTGAGCCAACTGCCGGTGGGCAAGGCTGCCTTCCAGCGCCAGCAAAATGGAGCTTAGCCAAGCCAGGCACCATCCAAGCTGGCGGGCAAAGCAGTCTCACCGAAAGAGGGCGCTGGAGCCAATCCCACCCATCCTGGGGAGGGGGGCATTTCTCACAGGGAGGGGTCAGGCCAGGGGTCAGCAGGGCAGCTTGGACGGTGGGGGGGGGAGAGGGTTGGGGGACTCCGTCCCCAGTGCAGGACAAATGGCTCCTCTGCCTTCCCCCTCCTGGGCAGCAGGAAGGGGTCTCTGGGGCTTTTAGTCAAAGGGCCACTGCTTGGAGGGGGGAGGGTGCAAGAGAAGAGCCCCTTCCGGACTGCCAAGAGTGGGGCAAGACTCCCCTGACGGTCTGGCACAGCCCCCCCCCGTGGGCCTCTCAGGACAGCCCCTTGCTGTTTGCAGGCAACCGTGAAGGAGGGGCAGGTGTACGTCTCAGCCAGGATGAAGGTAGGTGGTCTCCCCTCCTGACACAAGGGACTGCAGGGCATCTCCCCACCCCCCACCCCGCCCCACCCTGCTTTCCTCCCTCTCCTTCCCTCCCTGACAGGATCTTGAAAGTGGCCGCAGAGTGAAGCCCATGGCCAGAGAGTGCCAGCTGGACTGCCAGACGGCTCTGTTGCTGGGAGCAGGTGAGCCTGTGGGAGGGGGAGGGAGGGGCACGGCCAGGCCAAGGTCCAGGTCCAGGTCAGAGCTGGACCGGGCCTCTTCCTCCCCTCCCTGCCAGGCCCGGCAGCCCTGACCTGCGCTGAAACTCTTCGGCAAGAGGGCTTCACCGGCAGGATCATCATGGCCACCTGGGAGAAACACCTTCCCTACGACAAGACAAAGTTGACCGAGGTCTGGGCTGGGGAGGGACGGGACTTACCTTGGCATGGGGGGGGCATTTGGTTGAGGGGTGTGCAGGGGGAGGGCCGCTGCTCAGAAGGGGAGGGGGACAACCCTCCGGGCTTTGAAAGCAGCCATCGGAGAGGGGACTGGCCCGAGAAAGCGCATGGAGGTCCAGAAGTGGGATCCCTCCCCTCACAAGCCTCCGGGATAGCCCCAAGAGCAAAAGTGGGAGGGGAGGAAGAAGGGGGACGCTTCAAATTTTTATCTCCCCCCTCCTCTTGGATGCTCCCGATTGCTGAAAGGTTCCCCATGCCCGGGCGTTGAGAAGCCCCCAGCCCATAAACCTTGCTTCTCCTCCGGACTTGTAGGACTTGGGTGCCCCAGCAGAGAGCCTCTATCTCCGAAGTCAGAGTTTCTTGGATGCCCACAACATTGAGGTCTGGAAGCAGAGAGAGGTGGGTGGGGATGGCTTGGCACCATTCAACCTCCCCTTGGGGCTTTATGTCCCCCTCCCCCTGGCAAGTAGCTGGCCCAGCCCGAAGGAGAAAACAGCTGCGCTGTGAAATGCCCACCCCTGCTCTGGGAAGGAAACCCACCTTTGGGGAGATCTGCCCGCTGTGCCCCAACCTCATGGATCCTGTCTCAGCTCAGTAGCAGATGGCCAAAAGCCAGCACAGAGGCCACCAGAAGGAATTGTCCCAGTGCTGGGCCATCCAGGCCTCCTTCGAGTCTGCTGCTGGCTTGGGGGGGTCAGCCTGCATGGGGGGCAGGGTTTCGCCTGGGCGTCTGCCCACCCCCTGTGCATCTAGCCTGGCTCTCATCCGGCTGCAGGTGGTGTCTCTGGATCCTGCAGGCAAAATGGCCCACTTCCGGGATGGGACATCCCAGGCGTACAGCAGCCTGCTGATTGCCACGGGCTGTAGGTAAATGATGGCAACTGAAGTCTTGCCCCTGGGGGGGGGAGCAGAGGGGGTGACCCAGGCAAGGGCTCTGATGGGCTTCTCTCCCTGCCCAGCCCTCGGAAGCTCCAGTGCCCGGGCTGCAGCCTGGGGAATGTCCGCACACTCCTCACCCCTGAAGATGCCAGCTGGATCCTGGCCTGGGCCCTGGGCAAGACCGTGGTGATTGTGGGGGCCTCTTTCATCGGTATGGAGACTCTGGATTCAGAGCTGGAAGGAGTGGGGGCTCTCCGCCCCTCCCCCAGACCCTCCCCCGACTTTTCATGCCAGCCTCCTCTCAGCTCCCGGCCTTCCTTCCATACAGGGATGGAGGTAGCCGCCAACCTGATTGGCAAAGCAGCCCAGCTCCAGGTGGTGGAGAAGGAAGAGCGGCCCTACCAGCTGACCCTGGGAGGTCAGGTGGGCACCGTGGCCATGAAGGTAGGGAAGGGCAAGCAGTCCCACAGCAGTGAGGGCTGCTCTCTGGGAAGCCCCCCCCCCCCCGGAGGCTCTCCCCGGGGGGCACCTTCTCATAGGCCGATCCTTGTAGCCGAGTTTAGGCAGGAAATCTTGGATGTTTTGCTGGAAAAATATCTATAGCTTGCTTTTTTTTATTATTGTAGCCAGCACAGGAAGATGGGGTGTCACAGGGACAATGCTTGAGCAACGCAAACATTTGTTCCTTTGGTGGGCACAAGTCCAGATTTGGTTCAAGCACTCCCAGGGCTCAGCAAAGCCCCTTCTGGGTCCCCCCCTAGAGGGGTTTCTTGGAGCAGCCCCAGAGGAGATATGACTGGACGATGGCAGTGCAGCAAGAATAATCCTTCCCTCCCTCCCTCTTTTTCTCTCCCTCCCTCCCTTCCAGATGCTCGAAGCCCAGGGAGTTCGGTTCCACCTGAAGACAGAGGTGGCCCGGATGCAGGGAGAGGATGGGAAGGTCTGAGATACCCCCCCCCCCACACACACACCCACTGCCCCAGAGGCTGGCAGGCCAGGTCTACAGAAGGGATGGGTGGGGGGGGGACTGCTGCATCTGCCTTCTTTTCTCTCCCAGGTCACCAACGTTGTTCTTAGCAATGGTTCTGTTCTCCCTGCGGACTTGGTGGTGGTGGGCATCGGTGAGTTGGCAGCGCCTTGGCACCATTTTCACACTGAAAGAGAGGGGGAAAACAGAGGGAGGGGATCCGGAGGAGAGGGAGGGGAAAGGGGCAGGAGCGCCTCCTGCAGAAGGAGCTGCCTCCTATGTCCAATGGACTTTGACCAGCATGGAACAGGGCCAGCATTTCCTCTTCTGGCCACCAGGGGGAGCAGCAAAGGCACAGAGGGCCCTGCTCCTGCCTCTTGCCCACCAGCTGGGCATCCCAGGGCTGCAGCTGGCCACATCTGGAGGGGGCAGGGCTTTTCTTGCAGCTTCCTCATTGATAAGGAAAATCCACCTGATCTTGGGGGGAGGGGGGCAGCCCCGGCGTGAGACCACTGGCCTGACAGGAGGTTCCCCTTCCTCTCCACAGGCAACACCCCAAATACCAGTTTTGTCCAGGGAAGCTCCATCAAGCTTGACCGCACAGGGTCCATCCTGGTGGACCTGGTGAGCAGGGGGGGGGTCCACCCTGAGGTAGCACCCCCCCCATATGCACTGACTGTCTGCTCCCTTCCAGTTCATGCAGACCAGCGCCCCGTCTGTCTTTGCTGCTGGGGACGTGGCCTCCTTTCCTGTGGCTCTGGCTGGTGGCAAGTCCACACCCATCTATCACTGGCAGATCGCCCAAGCCCACGGTACCCGCCTCTCTTTCGAGCTAGACTTTGGCTATGGGGCAGAGGGGGCCCAACCGGCGGTAGCCCATCCCACCCCAAGCTGAAAAGGGTGGCTTGTGGGTCCCAGAGGAAGAGCAGAACACGGGTCTGGTTGGGCCCTGAACCAGCCCCTGGCTGGGGGCTTGTCCGAATGGGGCACTCAGCCGTCATCGACCCTCTCGGGGGCAACCTTGGCTCAAGCGCAGGGGAGCGGGGGACAGGCGAGGGCCCTCCGGCCCCTGCAGTCCCATGAATCTCCCGTGTTGTGCAGGGAGACTCGGCTGCGCCCAGGGCTGCACTCTCTGCCAGCCCTTCTCCATGGGCCTGGCTTGGTCCCCGTCCCCCCCGTCCTCCTCCCAGGCCTCCCCCGAGCGCTTGAGCCAGCCAGCTTCCTGGGTTCCTTGTCCCGCAAGGGGGGCAGACTCTCTCCTGTCTCTCTCCTGCCCAGGACGCGTGGCGGCCCTGAACATGCTGTCCAGGCGGAGGCCGCTCCACACGGTGCCCTTCTTTTGGACCAAGCTGCAGTCAAAGACCATCCGCTACGCAGGTACAGCCCGGGGGACGGAGGGGGTGGGGTCATCCTGACAGGGCAGCGAGACGTCCAAGCTGGAAGCTCCCAGGCCAGGGAGACTTCCAGGGCTGCTCGGCCGGAGTTGGAGCCCCCCCCCCACTCTCTCTTTCTCAGGTTACGGGACGGGCCACACGGAGACGGTGCCGAAAGGTGATCTGGGCCAGGAGAGCTTCCTCCTCTTCTACCTCAGGTGAGAGGAGGAGCCGGAGAGGCAAACCGCCCACCTGGCGGCTCTCCAGAGCAAGCAAGACAAGCGGATTCTGGGCAAGGCCTTTTGGGAGGGAGCCGGGGGACTCCCGTGCTTTGACCCCCCTTCCTGCAGGGATGACGGTGACCTCGCCTGGCACAGCATCTGCTCGCCACACTTGTGCCCCACCCAAGTGCCAATGAGGGCAGTCGGGGGACTCTGCTTAGCGGTGACCAAGTCCTCGCAGTCAGCTACGGCCAGAGGGAGGGGCTGGGGAGAAAGCAAGTGCCCCTCTTTCAACTTTTGGGGCGCTCTGCACCCCTCCCCCTCCCCCGGCAACAGGGAGATGGCTCCCCCTCTGATATCTCTCCTCCCCCAGGGATGGCTGGGTGACCGCAGTGGCCAGCCTGAACTGTGACCCCCTGGTGGCCGTGGTAGCTGAGACCCTATACTCGGGGAGATGCATCTCCAAGCAAGAGGCAGAGTAAGTTCCCCCTCCCCACTGCCAGCCCTTTGGCTCTTTGCCCTGGGCCCCCCCCCCTGAGCCAAGTGGCTTCTTTGCAGGACCATGATGGAGGCGAAGGAGCTGCCAAAGAGAGAGCCACCCCAATAGTCTGCCCCACTGCTTGGGGGCTCACAGGCAGAAGCACCCCCTCATTGGGCTGAAATAAACCGAGGTCAAGAAAATTGCAACTTTGGTCCCTTTCTTCTGAATCTTGAGCTGGGGCCGCTGACCACCAGCAGGCTTTCAGCTTTGTGCCGGCCTCGAGGCTCTAAGGCAGCACCCCCACCCTGGCAACTTTAAGATATGTGGACTTCTTTAACTCCCAGAATCCCCCAGCCAGTCATGCTGAAGTCCATACATCTTCACGGCTAGAAGCTCTGCTTGGGGGTGGGGGGGAAGGTGCCAGACCCATGGCCCATTCAAGGTTGCCTCCGACTGGCTGGAACAGCCCACTTCTCAAACCCTTTCTCTGTTAAGAGGCTAAAAGCAATGAAAAAGAGACCACGTCATTTATACCTGCGGTCCTGGGGGCAATCCCGCTGCAGGGGGAATTGGGGGGCAAGATGGACCAGGAGCAACCAAGCCCCAAGGGGGGGGGCAGAGGAAAGGTTGTGAAAGCTGCTCCTGTCCATGCACGCTCTGTGTTCCTTCCTGGGCTTAGAATGAAGGAAGCAGGGACCCTCCCCTGAATCCCAGGCAGAGCCAGAATCCCCCCAGCCACAGCAGCCCTCTCGGGGCACTCCCCTTGGCCCCCAGCTTCCACAGCCTAGCAGTTCCTTGCTCGGCCGGCAGATGGAGTGACCGTCCTGGCATTGCTCCGCACGGCTGGAGGGCACCGACTCCTGAATGTCAGGGAAGCCTATCCTCTGCCCTCCTGCCCACCCACCCCCCAAGGTTGTCTGGGGACACGGGAAAAGGCAGAGCGAGTCAGATGGGCCAGGACCACTTCTCTCTCCTCAATTCGGCTCACAGGCTCCCACCTAGGTCCTGGAGCCCCCCCAATGCTGGGCAGATGGGGAAACAGGATCGCACCCCCCCCCCCCATTTCCTCTCAGCCCCACCCAGCAAAACCTGCCTCTTCCTGTATTGTCCTGGCCTGGGAATCAGAGTGAGCACCAGGGTGCAGCAAGAGATCAACTGGCCAAACCCATCGTGCGCTTCGGGTCAGCAAGAGGAAGCAGCTGCCCCTCACCCCTCAGCTGCTGCTGCTGCTGTGGGGGGGCAAAGGGGCTCTGAGGGTCCCACCGGCAGCTCCAGAGGGAGACCTGGGTGGGGGAGGGGAGACAGGCTCAGCTGAAAGCCCCAGGCCTCTGCCCAGCAAGGAAGAGATCCAAAGAATGCAGAAGGAAAGGAGGAGACGGGGCTCTTGGGCCAAGAGAGCAGCCAGCCAGGCCCCACACTGGTCCACAGAGCCGAGCTGCGACGGGGCCTGTGGGGAAGCCACGGGCGGAGGCAGCAGGCCAAGGCCTGACTGGGCGGGGTGGGCCTTGGGGCAACGCAGCAGCAGCCGCCCATTTGCAGCTGTCCAAGGAGGCCGGTCTCCGAAGGGGCCGGCTGGAGAGGCCTGGAAGTCCGGCGGGGGGGGGGAGCTCTGGAGAAGGAGAGGACAGCAGGCCGGCTTACCTGTCAGGGGACCGGTCCAGCTGCAGGGCCCGGGCTGCCTCCCTCCATCCATGCATCCATCCATCCGCAGGCCGGCCGGCCCTGGGCGAGAGCAGCTACGGCCAACAGTTCTTCAACTGGCAGCTTTAGTTGCTGGAGGGGACGTAAAGCGTGCCACTGAAGAACTGCTGCGCGGCAGCCAAGGGGGCCGGAGCGCCGGGCTGGGGGGCGAGAAGAGGGGGCGCCGTTAGAGCGGAGGGAGGGAAGGGGCCGGGGCCGGGGCCGCCTCCCCACCCGGCAGAGAGACCAGCGACCGCTTCCGCCCCAGACGCCGCCCGCCTGAGTCATCGCAGAAGGTGCCGGTCTCGGGGCTCCTCCGCAGCCCTGGACTCGCCGGGGAGACCCGCCGCCCGCGCCTGACGGGGAGGGGAGCCCTGGCGGGGCCGCGCTCACCCCGCCGCGCATTCCCCGCGCGCCTCCTCCGGATGCTCCGCATTCCAGCCGTCTGCCGGCCCCTCCGGCGGCGCTGAACTTCGGCCCAAGGACGGGCAGGCGCTCCGCTCCGCCCCGCCCCGCCCCGCCCCGCCCGCCGCCGGCTGCGAGGCATGAATCAGCAGCAGGGGCGTCCCGGCCGCCGCCGCCGCCACCGACAGGCGCGACGGCCAAGCCTCCCGCCCAGCGCGGGCGCGGCAGAAAGTTTCTTCGGGGCGGCGAGCGGGGCGCGCTCCCTTCCCTCGGAGGACGCCGAGGCCGGACGGCCGCCCCGGGACCCCGGGCTGCAGGCGGGAGCCTCCCGGTCGCCGCTCTCCCCGAGCGCCCTCCCCTCCCCCGGGCGCCCCAGTCGGGAAGGGGGCGCGGCGGCNGCCACCCCCTCGACGCCCGGCTCCGCGTTGCTGCGGCGCCGCCGGCCGGTCGGCCCGCTACCCTCCGCCGGAGGAGACTGTGCCCGCCCGGCCGGCCCGCCGGCGACACCGCCCCGGACCGGCGCCGCCTGCCCTGCCCGCCGCCGCCGCCACGCTCGCTCACCGGCTGCCGCTGCCTCTGATCAGCTGGCCGCCTCGCCTGCCGCCCAATCGCAGCCCGGCCGCTCCGCCCTCGGATTGGCGGGCGGACCGGCCAATGGGCCGAGGCGGAGGCGGTTCCTTCCCGCCCCCTCCCGCGCACAGCAGCCAATGCGCGAATGCGCCCGCGATGATTGACGGCCCGGCTGCCCGGCTGGGGCTTGGCAAGAGCCGCTGGCCCGACCCGCCGGCAAGGAGCCCTTTCCTTTCCCTGGCGAGGGGGGAGGAGGCTGCTGGGAAATGTAGTTTCGCTCCCGCCCGCGCCCTCCCGTCATGCCCAGCGCCACTGTGAGTTGGCATTTTCTCCCGCTCGGGAGGGGGCCTTAAAGGGGCGAGATTCCCCCAGTTCCCGCAGGCGCCTCCTGACCCGCCGACCGCGGCCTTCCGAGGCGCGCGGCGCGGCCCAGAGAGCCGAGCGGGGCACGAGCCCGCCTTGGGAGGCCGCCCCTTCTGCGCCGGCCCCCTGTTGCGCGCGCCACGGAAGGCTCCCCGGGCGCCCGCGCCGCCCCCCCCCCCCGCGCGCACTGCAGCTTTAAGAATTCCAGCTCAGTGACGTAGGCAAGATTCCGAGAAGTTGTTGCAAAGTGCGGGGCCCAATCGGAAGTGGAGCTGTCCTCGGCCGTAGGCCAATCAGGGCCCCCGAGGGGCGTGGCCGAGAGGACTGAGTTGAACCCGGTGACTTGGCAGTCCTGGCCGTGCGGGCGATGACTGCGCAGATCGCTTAAAGGGCCAGCGCCGCCGCCCTCGCGCCCCTCCCCCCTCCGGGCGTCTGGCTGGATGCCCCTCGGGACGGAGGGGGCCGCCTTGCCCTCCCGCGCCTCTGCCTGCCTCGGGCGGAGCAGCTGGGCGGCGTCCGGCTCCAGTGGGGTTCTGATCGGTCTACACACCCGTGTCGGACTCTGGAGCTGCTCCGACATGGCCCTGCTGGGCTTTTGTAAGAAAATGCGGAGCGTCCGATCAGCGGACTGCTTAGGTGCGATCCAAGCGCCTCACCCGCAGGGCGCATGCAAAAAATGACACCCCCGTCCATAGGGGAGCGAGCGAGGGAGCGACGCTAACACGTGTGGCAAGCCAGCAAACCCAGCCTGCCACAGAAGGGTGGCGGAATCCGGGGTTGGGAGGGTCCTCCGAGGTCTTCTAGTCGTGCCCAGGGCAAGAATCTTCCATTCTGCAATTTTATTAATAGAGAGAGATGGAGTAATTCCCCAAGGGAGCTGGGCGTTTAAGAAATATGAAACAAAAATAAATAAATCTCATGAACAAACGGGGGTGTGCAGTTTCCTTTCTGGGAGCAGGAAACCCAAGAAAAGATCTGAGTGAAAATAGGATTGTGTGCAACTAAACAAATGCAACACTTGAGTCATAAAACAGAGGCACGCACGATATCTGGATCACTTATGAAAAAGGTCTCAGAATAAGCAATTGAACCAGCACCAGGAAAGGGTCGCAAGAAAACAGAAATAATTTTTATTTATTTGTAACATTTATATAGACGCCCATCTTATACCAAACTCTGGGGGCTCCCAACTTTCAGGCCTCATCAATAGATATTCAAAAGTTGGGAAATCACAGATGTGCTACCTACTCCAATGCTTCTCAACCTTGGCCACTTTAAGGTGTGAGGACTTCAACTCCCAGAATTCCCCAGCTGGCTCTACTCTGCTGGCTGGGGAATACTCTGAGTTGAAGTCCAGACACTGACCTACGCCGTTTCTATGGGACTCCAACTTGAAATGGATTTATTTCTTGTATTTGTTCACGGCCTGATGCTGTTCACGGATGAAAACATCCAGAGCAATAAAATAACAAGAATGAAAGATGGCACAAATCAGACAACCAGAGCAAGCCCACATTGTGGGGGGGGGCTTCGATCCCGCTTGCCAAAGGCCCCGGGTGAAGAGCCAGTTCTTCAAGGCTGTCTAAAATGCCAGTGGGGGAGGGGCACTGGGGGAACCTCCTGCAGCCCCCTTGGGCTTCCCATCTGAAGGAACAGGAGGAGGCCATTAGGATGACCAGTAAGGAGCCAAGACCCTGGCTTCAGCCCAAGGCCAGCTGCCCTTTCCAGCTGGCGTTTGCTGAGGCCAAAGGCTTTGGGTCCAGAGCGATGCTTGCCCACACACACACACACACACACACACACACACACACACCCATAGCAGTAGCCAAAGCTGGCCACAGGTCCACAAGGGCTGAATCCAGGCTTCTTTCCCACTGGGCCTGGCACGGAAGTGGCTGCCTGAGTGTGGGGAGAGCCCTGCCCGTGTGGCTCTGTGGCTGAGGCCAAACCTTCTGGGACAGGGCAGGCTGGCTTTGGGACCCTTCTCTGCCCACCTCTTCAGCTCTCCCTGGACGGCCACTCCAAGCTGAGCCAGGGCAGGACAATGCCACCTACTTGCCACCTCCCTCTCTGAGTGGGTGGGCAGCCGACCCCACGCAGGGCTGGCTCCACAGGGTTTTACTGTAGCAGTTGGTGTGGAAAGGACACAGTGTTCAGCTGGCCAGAAGCTCTGGGCAGCCACTCGGGCCAATCCGAGGAGGAAGGGGTTTTTGCCAAGATGGAACAGCTTGTCCTCCCCATCCTCCCTGCCCCCATGGTGTCTTCCAAATTGGAGTGGGTGGGCGGTGGACAGTAGCAACAGCAGTGTGTGTGGGGGGGAAACGGGTAAGGCAGGCGGACAGGCCAGCCAAAGCCCTGCCCTTGGCCAGCAGCAAATCCCCTCTCCTCCAGACATTCCTGGGTGAGTCACAGGAGGAGAGACGGGCAGCCCAGTTTCCAGGCAGAGCTGCTCCCGCCCAGCGCTGCCCTGCCCGTCTCCCCATCACTGCACCTCCCAATGGCCAGGCTGACCAGCGCCTGTATAAATCTGACAAATTAAATGAGTCCTAGGAAGCCCTCTCCCTCCAGAGGTCCTGGGCACACTGGTGGGGCTAGTGAAGGATCGGCGGAGGGCGGGATCCTGGACCTGGAGGCAGGGTCTGGGCACCAGCAAGCCGCTTCCAGTCAGTCCTCTGGCCCAAAAGGGGCGCAGTGCACTCCCCCCCCCCCGAAAGGCCTCCATAAGCCTTAGCTGGGTGCAGCCACCCACTTCAGAAGGCAGTCCGTCCAGCGCTTGACCAGGAGATCTCGCAGGGGCTCCCTCCACAGGCAGCGCGCTCTCCCCTCGCTGGGGAAGGCCTGGCAAAGCGGATCCACCACGCGTGGCTCTTCCTCCACTTGGCGGTGGCTGCCCCACCCTCCCCTCCCGTTCGTTTCCCTGCGAAACTCCGCGTTCTGCGGCGGGGGAGGGGCGGTGTGCATGGCGGGGGGGGGCGTTTGCGCAGCCTGCTCAGGAAGTCCAGGGAGGCTTCCGGAAAATCTCCCACGCAGGAATTCCCCCACGTGCCCACTCCCCAGTGATGCCGCCTGGCCAGAATGAGCATCTGCAGGCTGAACTGACCACGTCGGCGGGGCGCGCTACTTTCCCCCCCCCCCTCCACACCACCGGTTCGAATTGCTGCGGCCCAGGCTGAGCCGTCTGCCTGCCCAGCGGACTCTTGGCCTGGGTGTCCCCGCCTGGCCAGAGGCTTCCTGCAAGGGGGGAGGAGGGGCCGGATCGGGGACTACCTGGAGGCGCCGCAGGGGCCTCCTGATCGGCAGGTGCTGCCGCGACAGGCAAAGCGATGCCGGCCACCTTAGCCCCGGCGGCTCCTCCTCCTCCTCCTGCCCGTCCTCTCCGGGTTTGGGCACGAAGCGACCGGAGAGGCTGCCCAGTTGCTGACTCTCCCCTCCCGCAGGGGCTGCAACCGGACGCCTCTCAGTCGACAGCCGGTATAATAGCCGAAGGAAAAAGCGCCGCCGCCCACCGCCTCCTCTTCCAGGAACGACCGCGCCGAGCCCGCTGCAGACGCCCCCTGCTGCAGCCCGCGCCCTGTCGCCGCATTTGGACCAGGACCCGATGAGGGGCCGGCAGGAAGGGGCCGCGGACCCGGGCCGCACCAGCTCCCCCCGGGGGCTCCCCCAAAAGACGGCCCGCGGGGGCAGGAGACGGAGGAGACGTTCCGGGCGAGCCCGCTTGGCCAGCCCGGGGTCTCACGAGGGAGGCCCGTTCCTTCGCAGAAACCCGGGGGGGGGGACCGAAGGCCGAGCTCCGACGCGGCGGCCACGTGGACTTTGTGTCCTTCCCGAGAAGCGGCGCCACGTGACTCGCGCATCAGCTGATCTAACATGGCGGGAGGCGGGGCTGTCGCGCGCTCCGGGTGAGCTCCGGGCTGGGGGGAGAGGTACGGTCGCCCCCGCCCCCTCCCTCCCTTCCCCCCCCCCAGCGCTGAAGGGCGCCCCCGCCCGCCGCCCCGCTTCCCTGCCCCGGTGGGCTGTGCCGGGAACGCGCCGGTGTCCGGCCTTCGCCTCGTGAGCCCCTTCCCGCTAGCCGGCTCGGAGGCGGTTTCGGCGGGGGCCAGAGCGCCAGGACGGGACTCCAGGTTTGGAGGGGGATGCGCGCGGGAGGGGCCGGGAGCCGAGGAGCCCGTGAGGGGGGCGGCGGGGGGCGCTCAGCATCGCTGCCGCCCTTGCCGGGTTCTGGAGGGGGCGACAGAGAGGCGAGCAAAGCCAGGGCCCCCAACTACTCGGGGGGGGGGGAAGACCCGTGGTTTTGCTCCGGGGAGGGGCTGCCAAAAACTGCGACTGCCAGCCGCCACGGGGAAAGCAGGAAGTGCCGGCCCAGCCCTGCTTTGCCCGCTTCTGCTTCCCGGCGTTGGCTCCCGGGCGGCGGTGTGACCCAGGGCGCTTTGCCTCCGCAGGGAATGGTGAGGAGCTGTCGTCGCCAGAATGGATCCCCTCCTGGAGCAGGTGGAGAAAGACCTGGGCATCGCCCGCAGCCAGCTGCTGCTCAGGGCCTCCCACGTCGTGGCTCTCGTGCCCCTGAAATGGCTGGCAAGCCTAAAGGAGGGGGGGGTGCTGCCCGCTCTGTGCCCGCAGCCGGAGGGCCTCAGCGAGATGGAGGTCCACGCTTGTCTCCAGCACTCCGTTCAGAAGCTGCCCACGGGCTGGACTCGAGTGGAGATCCACGGGCTGCAGAAACTTTGGCTGCGCTACCGGCTGACCACAAATGCCAACGGGCAGAAAGAGCCCCCAGGGGCTCCAGAGACCCTTCACAAGTTCATGCGCAGGGTGGCTTCCCAGAACTGTAGGAATCTATGGAAACAAGCCCATCGCTTGTATGTCCAGCGCTACTACCCAGCCCTGGCTCCGGCCTCCGTCCAGGCCCTGGAGGGGCTCCGGGCGGCCCTGCAAAAGCTGTACGGCTGCCCCCTTGTCCCCGTGGGGAGGACCCCCTCCGGCTCCTCTCCTGCCAAAGAGGAGGAGGTCCCTGGCCACGCCCCCCCATGCTTCTCCAGCGTCCTGCAGGCAGACATCCTGTTGGAGTCCCCGGAGATGCTCTACCTGGTCTTCCCGTATGTCTGGCACTCCCTGCATGACCTCATCACCTTCAGCCCCGCCAAGCTGATGAACAGCCACGCCAAGCTGCTCTTTATCCTCTTCCAGGTCTTGCTGGCCATGCAGGCCTGCCACGAGGCGGGCCTGGCGTGTGGCATCTTCTCGCTGGAGGACGTGTCCGTGGACGAGAAGCTGTGTGCCCGGCTCAGAGTCCCACTTCAAGGGTACGAACAGCCGGGCAGGGAGGAGGCTGGGCAGGGAGGAGGCGTGGCAGTGGCCTCAAGCATTCCAGGCCAGGGGTCAGCAGAGGGTCAGGTGCCCAGAGGTCCCGCTGCTGCAGAAGGGGTGGAGGCCCTGCCAGACCTTGGGGATCTGGTGCTGGACTGGGTGCACGGCCGCCTCAGCAACTTTGACTACCTCATGCACCTGAACCATTTGGCGGGGCGGCGCCCGAGGGACCCCAACTATCACCCGGTGCTCCCTTGGGTGATGGACTTCACCCCCCAAGGAGGCCAATTCCGGGACCTGCGGAAGTCCAAGTTCCGCCTGAACAAGGGGGACAAGCAGCTGGACTTCACCTACGAGATGACCAAGCAGGCCTTTGTGGTGGGGGGCAGTGGCCTGAGTGGGGAGCAGCCCCATGTGCCTCATCACATCTCGGACGTCCTCTCCGATATCACCTATTATGTCTACACGGCCCGGCGGACGCCCAAGGCGGTGCTATGCGCCCACGTCCGGTCCCAGTGGGAGCCCAACGAATACCCCGCCAACCTCGAGCGCATGCAGGCTTGGACCCCCGACGAGTGCATCCCCGAGTTCTACTCGGACCCCACCATCTTCAAGTCCATCCACCCTGACATGCCGGATCTGGAGGTGCCGTCCTGGTACGGCTCCTGCGAAGAGTTCGTTGCCGCCCACCGGGCCCTGCTGGAGAGCCCGGAGGTCTCCCGGGACCTGCACCACTGGATTGACCTCACCTTTGGCTACAAGCTGCTGGGTAAGGAGGCAGTGAAGGAGAAGAACGTCTGCCTGCACCTGGTGGACAACCACACCCACCTCACCAGCTACGGAGTCGTGCAGCTCTTCGACCAGCCCCACCCCAGGCGACTGGTGGGGGCCACCCTTCTGCCCGCAGAGGCCCCTCTCTCCACCCGGCCTCTCATCCCCACAGTCCAAGAAACACGAGTGCTAGAGACCCCCAAGGGGAGCCAGGTGGCCGGTGGGCTGGTCATCAGTGCAGCTACCTGCGAAAGCAGGATTGGGCTGAGCATGGAAGAGGAGGTGGAGCAGGGAGCAGAGGCCCTGGAGTCTGGCCCGGCACCTGGCAGAGGCTCGGAGCCACCTGGTCCTCCTGCCCAGGGTCCCAGCTTCCCTGTGGACAGCAGGCCACTTGGCTGGAGGACCAAGGCCCCCGCCCCCCTCTTCCAGGTGGAAGGGGCAGAGGAGAAGGTAGTCCTGCCGGAGGGTCACCAGCTGCTTCAGGCCTTGGAGGAACTGGAGAAGCTGGATACTTTCCTGCTGAAGGCCGTGCACGGGGCGGTGGACCGGCTGGAGCAGCCCCCCTCACGGCTCCCGGTGGCTCTCTCGGACCTTTTCCAGAGGGACATGCAAGTGCTGGGGGTGCTGGTGGGTGAGATCCTCTTTGCCCCCAAGCTCCGCACCTCCCAGCCGACGGCCTCGCTGCGTGGGCGCTTCCAGGCCATCCGGAGGCTCTGCCGGCTTCACCCCAAGGAGGTCCCCCCTCCACTCCAGCATCTGCTGGAGGTGCTGCTGCAGCTGAAGGTTCCTGACCCCCAGCTTCTCAGAGAGGCGCAGAGCAGCAGGGCCCCCCAGCTGTTCACCTACGAGCCCGTCTGGCAAGGCCTGCCCCCACCGTGCCCGTCGCAGCTGCTGAGCCCCTACAGCGGGGTCCTGCCCTTCCCGGCATACTTCCCTGCCCTGCACAGGTTCATCCTGACCTATCTCTCCCAGGAGGCCGGGGATGAGGGGCAGGGCCGGGAGCTGGTCTTCCAGCTGTGGCAGCAGCTGGACGGGGTGCTGAGTGGCATCACTCCCGAAGGCCTGGAGATCCTGCTGCCCTTCATCCTGGCCCTGCTGTCCGAGCAGAGGACAGCTGTCCATGCCGCCTGGTACCTCTTTGAGCCCATCGCCAGAGCCCTGGGCCCCAAGAACACCAACAAGTACCTGCTCAAGCTCCTCATTGGGGCCTACGAGAGCCCCCGGGGCCTCCACGGCCGCTTCTACCTCTACACGGACTGCTTCGTGGCCCAGCTGATGGCCCGGCTGGGGCTGCAGCCCTTCCTTGCCCACCTGCTGCCCCACATCCTGCAGGTGCTGGGGGGTGCAGAGGGCTCCTTCCAGGAGGAGAACAAGGCCTTGCTGCTCAGCACGGCGGAGGAGGACAGTGAGGAGAGCGACAGGAGCAGCCCGGCCTCTCGGTCCTTTGGGGAGGAGGCCAAGGGGGACGCTGGCCTGGAGCTGGTCAACTACATGTCCGGCATCAGCCTGCACGACCAGGCCTACCCGCCAGAGAGCGAGGAGCTTCCAAATGGCCTCTATCTGGCCGAGACCCTGAGCCTGGGCCAGCTGAGCGATAAGGGTGGTGCGGGCGAGGGGCTGATGGGGGAGGAGCCGCAGGACAAAGCCGCCGGCCTCCAGGGCCTGGATGGCAGCCAGGACCCGAAGCACAGCGAGGAGGAGGAGGAGGAGGAAGAGGAGGAGGAGGAAGAGGAGGATGGGGAAGAAGGCCGCAAGGAGGCTGCTTTGGCCGCAGAAGAGCCGGTCTTCTCAGAGGCTGCTGGCCCCTCTGTGGAGCCCACTCTGACCGAGGAAGAGGCCGGGGAAAGCCGTCAGGATCTGCTGGACCAGGATGTGGACAAAGAGCAGAGCATCCTGCTAGGTGAGTTGCCGGCTCAGGGTAGCCGAGATGCACCCTGTGAAGAGTGCTGGCCGTGGGTGTTTGAGCTTGCTGGGCATTGCTCTACGAAGCGGGTCGTTGCCGCTCAGGGTTCCCCCTTGGCTGGCTGGAAGAGCAGGAGCGCCCCACATAGAGGGGAGAGCCATGAGGTGGGGGGGGGGGTATCCCAAGGCCCCAACATGGCATCAGGAGGCTTTGCCTGTCCTGGCATGTCACAGGACGGGTGGGGGAGGCAAGCAGAAGAGCCGGGGGGGGGGGGCTGTGAGCTTTGGGTGCGGTGGAGCTGCGGTTTATCTGCCCTCTTGTCTACAGACACAGCCTGCAGGATGGTGCGGTGGCTGTCGGCCAAGCTGGGCCCCACCACCGCCTGCCGGTACATCGCCAGAAACCTCCTCCGGCTGCTGGCCTCCTGCTATCTGGGTAGGCTCCTCTGCTGGGTGGGAGGGGTGGCAATGTGGCGCAGCTGGCAAGGCTGAGGATGCCTCCCTCCTGCTCCCCACAGGTGCAAGCAGGCAGCAGTTCGTGGCTGGGGCCGAAGAAGGTGGCCCTCCGAGCACTGGAAACCTGGAGCAGAGGTGGCCCGTGGCAGGCGACGTGGTCTCCGAGCCGGTGCTCACCTGCCTCGTCCATATAGCACACCTCTACGGGGAGCCGGTCCTCACCTACCTCTACCTGCCCTACATCAGTTACCTGGTCAGTCTTCCACCTTCTGCCCCAGCCCCCCTCTTTTTTTTTTAAGAAAATTTCATTGAATTTCTAGTTTTGCATTTAAATATTTGAAAAGCAACGTGGCGGCTGGGTTGCTCAATAATTCAATAACATACAAATATCCTTAGTAGAGATCTCAAATTAATACATTAAATATTTCTTCTCTTTTCCCCTTGGTATTTACTGTCTCATATTTAAATTAATACAATTCTTATTATATCAATTAAATAAAAATAACTTTCTTACATTTATCAATAATTTTTAGTTTATACATATCTTAGTTGTTTTAACATTCAATCTTTTTAGACAATCAATGTCCTGGTTAGTTTTTCCCAATTTTTAGTTTCCCATTAATATTTAAATTTAAGGTTTAATATTTATAATTTCCAAGTTTTAAATAACCCCAATTCCCTTTATCACAATTCATCACAAGATCTAATGTTCAGGATACACGTCTTATCTATTTGAATTCTTACCATCTTACATCAACTAATTAGTAATACAATATAATATTCTTATTTTCTAGTAATTTCAAATATCTTAAATTTAGTAACCAAAATTTCTCTTATTTCAACATTTAATACTTCCTCTCTTTTTCTCTTAATATCTACTATCTCATATTTAAGCTAGTAATTTTTATTATTACCGCTAAATAAGAACATATTTATTACATTCATCGATACATTTTTAGCTTATATATATCTTAATTACCTTTACATTTAACCTTTATAAGCAAATCAATGTTCAAATTTAACTGTTTAATAATAATAATAATAATAATAATAATAATAATAATAATAATAATAATAATAATAATAATAATAATAATAAAGTTGGAAGGGACCATGGAGGTCATCTAGTCCAACCCCCTGCTCAGGGAGGAACCCTACACCATTTCAGACAAATGGCTGTCCAGTCTCTTCTTAAAAACTTCCAGTGTTGGAACATTCACCGCTTCTGGAGGCAGGTTGTTCCACTGGTTAATTGTTCTCACTGTCAGGAAGTTTCTCCTTAGTTCTAAGTTGCTTCTCTCCTTGATCAGTTTCCATCCGTTGCTTCTTGTCCTGCCTTCAGGCGCTTTGGAGAATAGCTTGACTCCCTTTTCTTTGGGGCAGCCCCTGAGACACTGGAAGACTGCTATCCTGTCCCCCCTTGTCCTTCTCTTCGTTAAACTAGACATACCCAATTCCAGCAACCGTTCCTTATATGTTTTAGCCTTCAGTCCCCTAAACATCTTTGTTGCTCTTCTCGGTACTCTTTCTAGAGTCTCAGCATCTTTTTTACATCATGGTGACCAAAACTGGATGCAGTATTCCAAGTGTGGCCTTACTAAGGCATTGTAAAGTGGTATTAATACTTCACGTGATCTTGATTCTATCCCTCTGTTAATGCAGCCCAGCACTGTGTTGGCTTTTTTGGCAGCTGCAGCACACTGCTGGCTCATACAGTATTTAAGCAATTGTCCAGTAGGACTCCGAGACCCCTCTCACAGTTACTACTATTGAGCAAGGTACCCCCTATACTATACCTGTACATTTGGTTTTTCTTGCCTAAATGTAGAACCTTACTTTTTTCACCGTTGAATTTCATTTTGTTAGATAGCGCCCAGTGTTCAAGTCTGTCCAGGTCCTCCTGTATCCTAAGCCTGTCTTCTGGAGTGTTGGCTATTCCTGCCAGCTTGGTGTCATCCGCAAATTTGATGAGTTCCCCATCTATCCCCTCATCCAAATCGTTGATGAAGATGTTGAAGAGCACTGGGCCTAGAACAGAGCCCTGGGGCACCCCACTTCACACTTCCTCCATGTAGATGCGGTTCCATTGAGGACCACACGCTGAGTACGGCCAGGCAGCCAGTTACGGATCCATCTGGTGGTGATGCTGTGTAACCCACATTTTTCTATCTTATCAAGTAGTAGGTTGTGATCTACTTTATCAAATGCCTTACTGAAGTCCAAGTAAATTATATCCACAGCATTCCTCTGATCCACTAATTTTGTCACTTGGTCAAAGAATGCAATAAGATTTGTCTGGCATGATCTGTTTTTGACAAACCCGTGTTGGCTTTTGGTAATGACTTTGTTTGCCTCTAGGTGTTCGCTGATTCGTTGTTTGATTATCTTTTCCAGAATCTTCCCAGGTATTGAGGTCAGGCTGATAGGTCTGTAATTTCCTGGATCCATTTTTTTTCCTTTTTTGAAGATGGGAACTACATCAGCTCTTTTCCAGTCCTCTGGTAGTTCCCCAGTGCTCCAAGATCTTTGAAAAATATAGTTCAGTGGTTCTGAGGTCACATCTGCCAGTTCCTTCAGAACCTTGGGGTGTAATCCATCTGGTCCTGGTGATTTGAACTCATCTAGGCTGGACAGGTGCTCACTTATCATTTTCTTGCCTATCTTAACTTGTGTTTCTATACTGTTTTTTATGGCACTATTTTTGATAGGTTGGTCTGTTTTTTCCCTTTCTGTAAAAACAGATGCAAAATACGAGTTAAATAATTCTGCTTTCTCCCTATTGCTAGTCACCTTCTTACCACTTTACCCCACTAATGGACCAATCTTTTCCTTCACTTTTTTCTTGTTTTTTACATGTTGAAAGAAGCTTTTTTTTGTTATTTTTGACTTTGGTCGCAAGCCTTAGTTCATTTTGAGCCTTGGCTTTCCTCACTTCATCTTTGCAGGCTCGGGCTATTTGCTGATATTCTGATTTAGTTATGTGCCCCTCTTTCCACTCTCTATACTTGTCCTTTTTATCTTTCAATTTGTCAGAGAGGTCTTTATGCAGCCATGCTGGTTTCTTTTGAGAGCTGTTATTTTTCCTCTTTGTTGGTATTGAGGTAGACTGGGATTCTATTATCTTGCTTTTCAAAATTTCCCAAGCTTCTTGCATTGTTTTCCCCTGGAGGATTCTCATCCATGGAATCTTTCCCAAGCCCTCTCTAAGTTTATTGAAATTAGCTCTCTTGAAGTCCAAGACTCTACTTTGACTATGTTCTATTGCTTGTGCTTCCATAATGTTGAATTCCAATATTGCATGATCACTACCTCCCAAGGTTCCTGTGGCTTCAACACCTTCCATCATTTCATCTCTGTTAGTGAGGATTAGATCCAAAATGGCTAATCCCCTAGTTCCCTTCTCTACTTTTTGGGAGACAAAGTTGTCTGCTAGGTTTGTCAGGAATCTGTTTGGTCTTCCACTTGGTGCAGAGTTTGTCTCCCAGTTGATGTCAGGGTAATTAAAGTCCCCCATTACTATGGTGATGTGCTTCCTACATACCTTAGTTAGCTGACTAGCAAAAATTTCATCTATTTCCTCTGTTTGGTTGGGTGGCCTATAGTATACACCTATGGCAATGTCATTTTTTCTCCCTTTTATATTGACCCAAATGCATTCAAGACACTTTTTGTCATTGTTGTGCTCTATTTCTGTGGAGATGTAGTTATTTCTTATATAGAGAGCAACTCCACCTCCTCTTTTATTTGATCTGTTTCTTTTAAATAATTTAAATCCCTCTAGCTGTGTGTTCCATTTGTGGGCTTCATCCCACCATGTTTCTGTAATGGCAACAATATCATATCTGCCCTCATTGACCTGAATTTCTAGTTCACCCTGTTTGCTGTTCATACTCTGTGCATTGGTGTANAGACATTTGAGTCCTTTATGACCGACCCTGTGTTTACTTTCTACATAACCTGAGTGGTGCCTGAGTTCCCCTATTGTCTTACCACCTATTTGGTTAGTGCACTTTCTGTGGCACTCGTTATTAAAAGCTTGATTTTGCTTGACAGCAAGGTTGGTATTTTTGTCCACACACATATCTATGTTACATGCACTGATAGCCCTATTGTTTTTAGATTGCCGGCGACAGGGATGCTCTGTATCGATTAACTCACTGTCCCCGCTGTTTAGTTTAAATATTCCTCCAGAAAATCTGTGAATTTATAGCCGAGTAATTCAGTCCCTTTCTTTGATGGATGCAAACCATATTTATTTATATTTATAAATATGCAAACCATATTTATACTTCCAAGTTTTAAATGACCAAAGTTTTCTTTATCTCAGTTCATAACAATATCTAATATTCAAAGTACACATCTTATCTATTTGAGTGTATTCTATTTTAATTTTCACTAATGTCAAAACCCCAATTTTCTTCAGTCTTATTTTAGCTTTCTTTCTTTGCCAAATCGTCTTCCATGTCCGTGCTTTTGAGTCATCAAATAAATCTCCCTGTGTTGTCATGTATATTGTTTGACGTAGAAAAAAACCATCTGGTCGCCATTTTTTTGAGAGGACTAACAAATTGTCTCTCTATTTTTCCATCTCAACGTAGTTGTCCTGAACTGTTCATCTTCTCTTCAGTCTGTTCTTCTTGATCCTCAGGTTTCTTCTGATTTATGTAGAAAGTCTTTTCCCTTTTCCATATTGTCACTCCCTTTTCTGGGTTTTCCATTGATTGTATTTGTTGATCAGTTGAATCCTCTGTCATAATATTTAATTGTTCCACTTTTTCTGTTATATTCTGTGTAGTTGATTTTTTAGTTGTAATCAAAGTTTGAGTTCATATATCTGGGCTGACGTCTTGTTCTTTTCTGTAACCTCTTATTCCATTAGTAGCTGTAAGAATAGTTTGAAGAATTGCTTTCAACATAAAGAGAATCTGTTCCTGATCTTCATCCATATTCTCTTAGTGTAGTGTATTAGGTTAAAGGCTTTACAATCAGAGAATGGAAAAAAAAAACACATTTGTCACTGAGTATGGAACACAGCTGGGCTTCTCACAGCTAATGTTTCAAAGTTACAGTTTTATCTATTGTCTGGGCTACTGGCCAAGTCTCTTTTAAGCAATAACAAATTGTAATATGAGGTCTAGCCCAAGATGTCGCTCCTAATTTAAAGTTTTCTTTTGAATCCAATGCTTTTATAATCTTTTCAGTTTTGCTTCTTTTTTATAGGTAAAAATCCAGATCTTCAGTAAGAATAGAAAGTCTTTTAATCCACAAACTTTAAGAAATAGAGTTCCAATTTAGGATCAGGCTACTCTTGCAACATTTTAAACTCCCCTGGATAGTCAGTCGCCGCTGTTTCTAGAGGGAGGAATAAAATCTCCCTTCCCTCCCCACAAGGGGGGGAAAGTACTTTAAGCAGCTTATCCAGGAAAGAATAGTTAGGATTTAAGAGAGGTAGATCTCACCCAGTCTCATTCGCGCTGCTTTATAATTGCTGGGTGATAAGTGTGACTTTGGCTGTCTGCAGCCTAGTGACGAGCCATATTGCTATAGCCAGTCTTTCGTCCGGCGGTTTGGAGGGCTGCCCCGGATCGAGCAGCAGGGCTACCGCCCTCCCGCAATCAAGCAGGGATCCCCTCTTTGCTGGTCACCCCTACAGGGCGACTTTTGACCCTTTTCAGGGTCCCCCAGCAATGCGAAACTGGACACAGAAAACAGAGCTCGCCTTCCAAACATCCATGACAGTCGCCTTGGCAAACCGGAAGTCCCCTTTTCAGGGTTATCCATTGACCGTGTTTGTTGATCAGTTGAATCGTCTGTCATAATATTTAATTGTTCCACTTTTTCTGTTATATTCTGTGTAGTTGATTTTTTAGTTGTAATCAAAGTTTGAGTTCGTATATCTGGGCTGACATCTTGTTCTTTTCTGTAACCTCTTATTTCATCAGTAACTGTAAGAATAGTTTGATGAATTGCTTTCAACATAAAGAGAATCTATTCCTGATCTTCATCCATATTCTCTTAGTAGTGTATTAGGTTAAAAACTTTACAATCAGAGAATGCAAAAAAATAATAATCATTGAGTATGGAACACAGCTGGGCTTCTCACAGCTGATGTCTCAAGGTTACATAAGTCTTATCTATTGTCTGGGCTACTGGCCAAGTCTCTTTTAAGCAATAACAAGTTGTAATATCAGGTTTAACCACAAGATGTCGCCCCTACCATTTAAAGTTTTCTTTTAAGTCCAAAGTTTTTATAATCTTTTCAGTTTTGCTTCTTTTTTATGAGTAAAACCCAGATCTTCAGTAAGAATAGAAAATCTTTTAGTCCACAAAATTTAAAAAATAAAATTCCAATTAGGATCAAGTTATTCTTGCAACGTTTTAAACTCCCCTGGATAGTCAGTCGCCGCTGTTTCTAGAGGGAGGTGTAAAATCTCCCTTCCCTCTCCACAAGGGGAAAGTACTTTAAGCACCTTATGGAGGTAAAAAAGATAGTTAGGATTTAAGAGAGGTAGATCTCACCCAGTCTCATTCGCCCTGCTTTATAATTGCTGGGTGGTAAGTGTGACTTTGGCTGTCTGCAGCCTAGTGACGAGCCTTATTGCTATGGCCAGTCTTTCGTCTGGCGGTTTGGAGGGCTGTCCCGGATCAAGCGGGGATCCCCTCCTTGCTGGTCGCCCCTACAGGGTGACTTTCGACCCTTTCCAGGGTTCCCCAGCAAAGTGAAACTGGACATGGAAGACGGAGCACGCCTTCCAGACATCCAAGGCAGCCGCATCAGCAAGCCGGAAGTCGCCCCAGCCCCCCTCTTAACCCCCACCCGGGAAGCCAGGCAGCGTTGGCAGTACTGGGCACTTCTGCACGATTGCAGGTGTTATTGGTGGGAGATCCGTAGCCCCCTTCTCTTTGGTTAAAAATCCCACCCCGAGTTTGGTTCCTGGGCCACCAGGAGAGACCAAGGGGCAGATGTGGACATCAGTTGGCTGGCCGAGCAGGGAGCATTTCTTGGAGGGTTCCTGCCCTCCAAGCCAAAAGACGATGGGCTGCCCATCCATCAGCCCGTAGAGGTTCCCCTTAGCCAGGCCGGGCTTCCTTGCGCAGCAGCCTCCATCCTGCTGAAGGGGTCCTGCAGGCCAGGGGCTGAGCTGCCCCCCTCCCCCGTTCTGCCCACAGCCTCAGCCAAGGTGGGGACCATTTTGTCAGCTGCACCTCCCTGGACTGATCCATTTCGCAAAGGAGGCCCATTGCTGGCTGTTCTGCTTTCGGTTCAGGCATGCAGTTCCTCATTTTTATTTTGGCTCTTCCATCTGAGGCAGAAGCAGGATCCCCCCCCTCCATTGTGGGAGGGGTCACTTCCTGGGAGAGCCTCAACCGAGCGTTTTCTCCTCCCCCAGAGACCCCCTTCCTGTTTCTGGGCCTGCGTCTCCTCCTCTTAAAACCCACCGCCTGAGGGGTGATTGGCAGGCCGTAGGGTGACGGTGCTGTGGAAGCATCAGGCAGCCACTTTCCACCATTGGTTCCTACCCTGCTTGGTCCAATATTTTTTTCCAAAACTCTTATTATTTAATTTATGCCACATACAATGCTAACTTTACCCCTCCCCCCATTTCATGTCATCTTCATCTTTGGTCAGTAACTGTCATCGTCCGTCACAAATGCGCCTATTTGAAACAGGGACCCACAGATGACCGTTCTGCGCCAGCCCATTTAATTGTCTTGCCATCCAGCTCCCCCCTACCCCCCCTTACTTGACTTGTCAATTAGCCTGTCTGGAGAGAGTTTCTCATTCCCACCATCTGTTAAGGAAAGCTCCAGCCAGTCCAGTGCGTGAAGTCTAACCCTTTCTGACCTCTGGGGGTTACCTGGAAGTCCCTGAGAATCTGTCCTGGAGAAAACGGGGCCTGAGCACCTGTCCCTCCCTCCCTGCCATGGGCTGGACTGCCCCCCAAACCCTCGGCATCCCCATCAGGGTCCCTCTTTGCCAGGGTGGGAGATGCAGTTGTTGGTGGGGGTCATGTGGGTGGGGGTCATATGCCTGCCCATCGCTAGCCTTTCCCTCCAGGTGGCTCCTAGTGGAGGGGCGGCAGCCGGCCGGTTGAACAGCCGCAAGGAAGCTGGGCTGCTGGCAGCCGTGACGCTCGGACAGAAGATCGTGGTCTACCTGTCGGACAGCACCCTGATGGACATCCTGCCCAGGATCAGCCAGGAGGTCCTGCTTCCCCTTCTCGGCTTCCTCACCTCGCCCACCCTCAGGTGCGCCTGGCCAGGAGGGGGGCAGAGTGGCCATGGCCAGAGCAACACCGGCCTCCCCCCTTCAGCCCCCTTGCACAGCAGCAAGGGATCCCCTAGGAGGGCTGCTGGAACAAACACAACACCCCTTAAACCGATGCCTTAAACCGATTCCGGGCTGGCAGCTGGGGGCGGGGGGGGGCGGGCAGGCAGGCTGGGCAGAGAGATGGGTGCTGAGAGTCTCTTCCCTCCAGTTTCCCCAGTGGGGTCCAGGGCCGGGTCGCCTTGTGTCTGAAAACCATCCGCTTGATGGTGCTGGTTTGTTTACGGATCGGACCGGAGATGGCTCAGCAGCACCTGCGCAACACACTCCGGGGCTTCTTCGAGAGCTTCTCCTCGCTGCCCTCGGAGTCCGTAAGTCTGTGGCCCCGGGGAGCAGGGGGTCCTTGAGGGGCAGGCGTGGCTGAGGAGCGGACAGGGATGGTCAGTGCCCACCCCAGATCTTCCCCGCCAATACGCCTCTGGGAATCCTGCGGGTGACAGTCAATCAAAGGGGCTCCTGGGGGATGTCCAGTCTGGGTGGTGTGCAGAGATCCAGACAGCGGCTGCTTCAGAAATGAGCCGGGTGCCTCCTGAAGTACCAGGAAAAGTCTCCCGGGGGGGAAGGGGGGAATCCCCTGGCCTAAGAGGAGGCGGTGGGCAAGTGGCTGGACCGTTTCCTTCCCCTTCGGCCTTTCTGCAGGTGTGACAAAGGAGTCCCCTTTTTTCAGGGCCAGCCGCTGCCTGCGGACGCCTCTCCCCTCCTGGAACTCCAGAAAGTTTTCAGCCCAGAAATGGCCTATGCTGCCTTTGTGCCCTTCTCTTGCCTGCTGGGTGAGACCCCCGTTCCCCCCTCCCCACTTCTTCCTGCTCCTCTTTCTCCTGCGCCCTGCGAGAGAAGGAGGCTGGGCTTCTCCTCCACCACTTGGGGTGCAGGAATCTTCTCAGGGCCTGTCCCCAAGAGGGGGCTTTTTGCGATAATAAACCCACCCCCATGTGGGGCTCCTGGGCTCCTTTGCTCTGGGAGCAGAACTCTCCGATCAGCTTCTCAGTTGTTTTCTCCCCTCCTGGCAGGTGACGCCTTTCACACGATTGTGCCGAACCACGCCTTGGTCAGGCAGTTGGCCAGCCTTCACCTGGAGCAAGCCAGTCCCTCGTCCGAAAGACAGGCAGCTGCTGGGCCGGGCCAGGACCCCTCGGAGCAGGAGGCACTGGGAGCCGAGCCCTCCTCCGGCCCTGCTGAGGACACGCGGTCGGGCACCTTTGGGAGTGTGCTGGTGGGCAACCGCATCCAGGTCCCCTCCGAAGCCCAGCAGGAGCCCTTGAGCGGGGCCAGGGGCAGCCTCTGCCCCAAACTGGGGGGCCGGGAGGGGGAGACACTGAAGCAGGAGCTGCGGCGCAGCGCTCGCCTCCTCCTGGGCAACTGGCTGGCGTACTGGCAGTACGAGATCGGGGTCAGCCAGCACGATGCCCCCTTCCACTTCCACCAGATCAAGCTGCAAAGCTTTGTGGGCCACGGGGGTGCGGTCAAGTGCATGGCCGCTCTGAGTGGAGAGGACTTCTTCCTGAGCGGCAGCAAGGACAAGACCGTGCGCCTCTGGCCCCTCTACAACCGGGGGGACGGCAGCCACGAGACCGAGCCCCGGCTGACCTACGACCGGCACAAGAAGTCCGTCTTCTACGTCGGCCTGCTGGAGGCCCCGCAGCACGTGGTCAGCTGTGACGGCACCATCCACATCTGGGACGCCCCCACTGGTAGGCACCCCCCTCGCCCTAGTCTCTGTCAGTCCCTGTCAGAGGGTCTCGCTGAGGCTCAACACTGAGAGGTCTGCCTCCGCTCCTGGGGCCCAAAGCTGATGCAGCGGTTGGATTGACTCCTCAATTGGAGAGATAGACCCCCTCCTCACCTGAGCTGGAGGAGAGGAACCCCCGTGGGGCAGTTTCCCCCCCCTCCCCGACTAAAGGGCCCTGGCTAGGTAGCCCACTTGCTAAAGGGTTCCCCATAAGGCGTGTGGCAGGTTGTCCTGCCAATTGCACGGCCAAGGTTGCTGTCAGAGCTGCAGTCCTTTGGCTTTCCCCCCTCTCAGCATCCCCGCTCTCCAGGGTTCAAGGCAGAGGGTCACACGCACACGAGCGCACGTCAGGTGGCAGCTGGCAGTTGCTCTAAGCAGATTAAGGCAGGAGACGGGGTCATCAGGGTGCACTTTCACATGCAGAAAAAGACCCTGAATCCCCCCCTCTTTTTTAGAGAGACAATTTGGGAGGAACTCAGAGACTCTGCTTCACACGTCTGTGCCCCACAGCTCCTCTTTGGTTTGGGTCAGGGCATTGGGGAGGGTCTCCTCAATCCCCTCTAGTGCTTCCTGGGCAGGGACCCTTCCCCTGAGGCCGGTGCCGCCCCTTCCCTCTTGGGCACAGCTCAGCTGGGTCTCTGCTGCAGGCAAAGTGGTCCGTACCTTTGAAGCGCTGGACTCCAAGGCGCCCGTCACCGCGCTCTGCCCCATGCCTCCCCCCCACGGCAGCATCAGCATCGCCAGCGCGGACTCGGTGCTTCGCTTCATCGACCACCGGAAGCCAGGCTGGCAGGTAGTGCCTGGGGCCACGGGGGGCGGTGAGGATTGGCTGGGCGGGCGGGGGTGAGCAGGGGTCTTGCTCTGCTTTTCTGGGCTGGGAAGGGACAGTCATGGGGGCGGCAGCCCCTCCTCTGACATCCCTTTGCTCTCTCGGCCCTGCAGCAGGAATTCCGGCTGGCCAGCGGAGCCAGCGCCGGACTCATCCGCTGCCTGGCTGTCAGTCCTAGCGGGCGCAGCGTGGCAGCCGGCTTCTCCTCTGGCTTCATGGTCCTTCTGGACACCCGTACAGGCCTGATCCAGAAGTCTTGGTCAGCCCACGAGGGAGACATCCTGCAGGTCAAGGTGAGCTGCTGGGCTTGAAGGGTTCAGGCGTGGCTGGATGAAGGGTGCAGCGGCCCAGTTGGGTCTTCCAGGCCCTGTTCTGGTCCCTCCTGCACTGCGCCCAACAGCTGGAGGTGCCACTTCCAGGAGACCCAGCAGCCTGGCCAGTTCTGGGGTTGCCCAGAAGTGGGTGGGGAGTGAGGAGGCTGCCTGGCAAGGAGGTTCAGGCTTGGCCTGGTGCTTGAGTAGAAGCAGAGCCTGTGGGAGCTCTGGAAGTGCCGTCGCCCGTTCCCACCAGGACTTTTGATGCTGGTCGCGCCCTTTTGCCCTGGCATCGGTTGGCAAAGATGCTGGGAGCCTCCCCTGGACTGAGCAGATGGGGTTCGTTCCCTGGGCAGAATTCAGGCGCCCCAAGGAGCCTGCAGCCCCCTCGGGGTGATTGGGTGTGGGCACTGCCCACTAGCAGACTCCCACCCCGCGGCCTCACCTTCCATCCTGGACAGGGGCAAAGAAGGGCAGTGGCCGAGGGCTGCTGCACCACTCTCACCACTGGGCCAAGGCTTACTTGCTGCTTCCCTCTCCCTGGTAGGCCACCGAGGGCAACGTGCTGGTCAGCTCCTCCTCTGACCATTCACTGACCATCTGGAAAGACCTGGAGCCGAAGCCCCTGCAGATGTACAAATCGGCCTCGGAGCCCCTCCACACCTTTGACCTCTATGGCAACGAGGTGGTGGCCGGCACAGTGGCCAACAAAATCGGCGTCTACGCCTTCCAGGGGCCCTCGGCCTCCAGCACCACCAAGCTGAGCTCCGAGAACTTCCGAGGGACCCTCACCAGCTTGGCCGTCCTTCCCACCAAATGCCACCTGCTGCTGGGCTCAGACAACGGCACCGTCCGGCTGCTGGCGTAGCCCCTGCTTCTGAAGCAGAGGGGGACAGTTGTGGCTGGCCAACAGCCCTGGGGGGGACCAGAAGGTTGGGGACGCCCCTTCCCCCCGTAGTCCCAGCCCAAGAAAAACCAAGACCCCCCCCCATCACCGTATGTGCCTGATGCTCCCTGGGGACTGGCAGAGATGCCCCTGGATGCCTGGAGGTCATGCCCTTCTCCCCTAACTTGGGGGCTAGCAGGAAGGAGGGAATAGCGGCAGATCCCACGGCCTTTTGGGTGGTGGGCCAGGACTGTCACGCTCTGCTTCTCCCTCCGCTGCTTTCTCTGCCCTGATTAGCCCTTTGGGGAAGGGGCTTCTGGGCAGGAAGGAATGATTGCCCCTTCCAAGTCTTCCCGTTGTTGGCCAAGTGTTGGAAGCCCCCCCCTCCACGCACTCCTTGCCTGGCCACAAAGCCCTCTATCTGCCAAGGAGCCCTCCCCCCCCGATCTTCCTCCAATGGGGGAGGGAAAGGACTCCTCAGCTGGACAGTGTCTGCAGGGGTGTCAGTTCCACCCTCAAGGTGTGCTAGAAACGCCCTGGGGTTGGGGGTGCATTTAGTCCTTGCCCCCCCACACACACATTCCTAGAGACGGCCCAGTCCAGCACTTTCCCTCTGTTCCCTGGAACTGGGGGGGGGAGGGCTGGAGGAGGGGCTTCTCACTGCTGAATGAAGAATTTGCAAGAAATAAACCTCCTGAGAAACTACGATTTTCTGACTTTTTGGTGAGGAGGTGGGGAAGCCCCCCCCCCCATCTCAATAGAGGAGCAAGCAGGGAGCAGAGAAATGGCGGAGCTGCTGCCTCTCTCTCCCCCCCCCCCCGATTGGGAGTCGGATTTGAGGATACACCGATCTGGCCGACGGACCCTTTCCCTGCTGCCTTTGGGGGCTCCAGAGACCCTCTGGGGAAGCGGCCACACTTTGCGTCTGCAGAGGGGGGGGGCAATCGGTCAGCCTGGCCTTGATTCCAGACCTGTGACCGAAGTGACAACGGCTCTGAAAATAGGGGGGGGCACAGCAGCATCCCCAGGGTCAACTGATCAAAGTTCGGGCACTTTAGCAACCGGCGGTTACAACACCTGCAGCGTCCGAGGCTCACGTGGTCCCCCTTTGCGACACAGCAGTGAGCCTGGATCATTTCGTGACCGCCAGATTCATTTAATTGCAGTGATTCACTTAGCAGCCTGGCAAAAAAGGTTGTAAAATAGGGCACGAGTCACTTAACCGCCTTGCTTAACAGTGGAAGTTCTCCGAATTACTCTTAAGTCAAGACCTGCCTGGAGGCGGGTTAATCCCCCCAAGGCTTGGGCAGCCCCCACTCCGGCCTCTGGCCTGGGGGAGTCCCTTGCTGGGCAGGAAAACTCTGGGGTGGCCAGAGGGGGCTCCTGCCCTTCCCTCCTCGGGGGGGGGCTGGATCGGCTGGCTTCTAAGAGGAGTTTTACTCCTCAGTGGGCCTGATCCTGCCTTCTCAATGGCTGCCCCACGGAAGCCCCGCCTGCCCTTTTTGGCAAAGCACAGCAGTGGGAGTCTTCAGAGCTGCCCCTTTATTTTTATTTTAAATACTTTCTCTGGACCCTGGGCAGCTCATGACCAGAGGGAATTCTGGAAGGGGGGGGGAGGCTATGAATATCAATGATACGACAGACTAGCCAGGATGTTCTTGTCTGTCTCTGAAGGGTGGGGACAGACACAGCAGGAGTGCCTGCAGGCCACCCTGGAACCCCTGGCCAAGGGGGAAGGTGCAGGGCTCACCTGCCCTGGGGGGGGGGCTGCTGGGGTTGCACAGTTGCTGCCTGGAGTGAGGAGGGGGAAGCGGGGGGGG